AGTTCATTTGGAATAAAACAAGCTGATTTTCCTCCAAAGATGCCATATTATTGTCTTTGTCTTATCACTATATTATTCCATATATTCAAGAAGTTATGCCATCTGAATATTGTCAAGATTTCTTTGGTATAGAAGGAGTACAATTAATATATTACTTTCACAGTAAATGAAAAATATTACTATCCTATAACTTTGTGTGTGAGAAGCAGAGATACTGACATATATATGGAGCTTCACCTCAAGATCAACATTTTTGTTAAGGAAAGACTGTGCTTGATATCAAAATACATTTTATTTATGTTTTTTTTCCATAATTCAGCTATGCAGATTTTGAAAATAATATTCATTTTTTTCTATCACATAAGAATTTTTTACAAATTGGAAAGAAGAGAAAAACCTTTTTAGATTAAATTATTATTTCTTTTATCACAACGAGCATATTTTATTATTATACATGTTTCTCGTGGATTCTAGAATGATCGATAAGGTTCTCACGTTGCAATTGGTCTAGAGAAATCTATAGCCAGTGGTTGTCAACATTTTAAGCATAACAAAATGTGACCCAATTTCAATGAAAATGATTCACTTATGTAAAAGTTCACATGACGTTTTGTGAAAAATGTGTACATGATGGACAAAAATGGATATAATTTTCAGATTCAGCGTACAGGAATTACTGCAGAACACATAAAAATTTCAAGACAATAAAACCATTGCAGGCCTGTGTAATTGGACCAGCAAGGAAAGGTATACTCTGTTATGTGCAAAAATTCAATCAAAGCATGTATCCAACAAAGAGTACGCCATATGGATAAATGTATTCTTCCAATTCTGATCCATCTGTTTCAGCATGGTGCTGACAATGTAGGACTGGTGCAAATGTTGTGGGGTTATCGTGCTCACATAGTATCTCTCATGTGGTTTTCTGGATCCTCACCTCGTTAAATCTTTCCTGAGCTAGTAAAATAAATCATTGCTTCTATACAGGTAACCAAATGAATGACATAACACTTCCAGGTAAGACTCATTACTTTTTCACACAGAAAAATATATTTAACAGTGGTACTGATAATTCTTAACTTTGTTAATCATGTTTTGTTTTAGTAAGCAATATTCCCAGGATTACATTTGCTGACCGTAAAGAACCTGTTTATAGTTCCTGAGTGCATGTTGTTTAAATATAGTTCAAAGTTTCTATTTAGTTGCATTTGTTGTTCAATTAACAGAGTTCCACAATCTTCACTTCTGAATCATCAGTAACTCCCTAAAACATTCCACAGCAGTTATATACATCTAAACTCTTCCTCCAACTGCAGGAAAAACTGCTCCATTTGAGGAAAAGTCATTACTTCAGTGACGTTTATGCTGACCAACACAAAAACTAAAGAATTTCATCATTCTTTGCCATAAACTAAACATCAACTTGAAGTCTGGGCAGAACTTTTTTACAACTTCATATGGCAAAGGCCCTGATCATCATAAGGTATCAAAACCCAATTTTTGGTGTTATAAGCCCTCAAGAAATTATTGAGACAAAAATTTCAAAAAACAAGCTTGATGACAAGATTTTACCTCCAAAAGATTTGTTTCACATTAAAAGATTGCATTCTTCAGCATAACCATCAGGTTATTTTCTGAAAACATATAGCAAAAGTCCAAGTCATCAAAAGAGCCTATTTCCTGCAGAAGAGGAAGTTCTTTTTCTTGCACCTATGCAGATACATATTGAATTACAATGACTACAAACTTTAAGAATTCAAACATTTACATTATCTGTACATCTCTGGAGGGAGAAGGGAAGATTCACTACAGTATTACTGTCTAGAAAGGGAGAGCATGTTATGCAGTACTGAATGTCCAAGTCTCACTTCATTTGTTTGTTTGAAGTTAAGCACAAAGCTACACAATGGGCTACCTGTCACTTCATTTGTCACAAGAGGCTACAGGTTCCAATCATCTAGAATCAAGATACTAAAAATGAAAGAGAAGAAAAAAAGGCCAAGAAACAGCAGAACCAGAGAAAGTGGCACAAGTTATGTAATTTATGCTTATATAAACATTAATCATTGTTACTGTTAAAAGGATAGGGAAATACACTTTTACTTAAATAATAAAACTTTGAGGACAGCTGTTGGGTGGATTATTTTATTTTTAGAAAATTTATTACAATTGAATTACAACCTGAATTTAGAAATTTTGAAAACTTTCTTTCACTTTGCATTAAAAATATGTTTTACCTGTCAAGGTCAAATATATGAACAAATTGATAGACTAAGCATGGGAAGCCCCTTATTGCCTGGATTGTGCGAATTGTTCAATACCAAAATAAAAAGTCTGGTCATCAATACAGCTCTAAACCCTCCCACATACTGGTTTAGATACATTGACGATGTATTTTGTAGCTTCAAAAATAACGACCATCAACAATCATTTCTACAACACATAAACAACATCCATAATAACATCAAATTCACTTACGAAGAAGAAAATGAAAACCAAGTTTTAAATTACATGAACATAGCAATAGAAAGAAACACTAATAGTTTCAACACCAAAATCTATCACAAGCCATGTAATGACAGCAACTATATAAAGTGGGACTCAGCCCACTCCACACAACAAAAAATTGGTACATTATCATGTTTTTACAACATAGCATTTAATATATACAGTGACATAAATCTACAACACGGACTAGAAACAATATCCGAGACATTTATAAACAAAAGTAATTTCCCTAAACAAATCGTCACTAGAACCTTAGCTAAATGTAAAAACAAATTCAACAACACCAAAAAAGAAACAGAAAACACTATAAACTCTGAGAATGGTGAAAATTACACTGACACATTAATAGGCATCTTACCATATCATGGTTATGTAACTAAAATCGTCATAAACATTTGGAAACAAGTAAAGAAAAATATAACATTAATAATAAAGTCATGTTTGTTCCAAAACCGAGACAAAAATCAAAGACCATCTAAAGAAGGCCTATTTAGATAACTTCAATGACGGATGCATCTACATATATCAATGCAATAGATGCGACAGCTCTTATGTAGGTGGAACGGGACGTAACATAAATATTAAGATTAAAGAACATAACAATCCCCCATCACAGATTTATGAACACAGCATAACAAATCAACATCCAATCAACAACAACAACTTCAAAATATTATGTAATGAAAACAATATCAATAGAAGAAAAATTAAAGAAGCGTTAATTATCCCCGATTTAAAACCTAATTTAAATTAAAATATAGGTGTCTCTTTATATCTATTCTAAATTGGAACAAAATGCTGATGTAAATTACTAATACTTAACACTATATCATAAGTTTACCTGATGATGACCACACAAGTGGTCGAAACGTTGTAATAAATATTCTAAAAATAAAATAATCCACTCAACAGCTGTCCTCAAAGTTTTATTATTAATCATTGTTATTATGACACTGTCCTGGCCATGCCATGTGATCCAAATAAAGTGTATCTTGCAGTTATTTACAGGTTGCATCATTTGAATGTTACTCAGATTTCTCTGGAATAGAGTATTGGTTATGTTTGACTTTTTTTTATTTTTTACGGAAATGAAGATACTATCTTCATGTAACTTTGTAGATGAGAAGAAGAGACACTGGCCTTTCCAAAAAAATGTTTTCAGAGAATTAGTTTTGGATTTCACTCCAATATCAATGGTACAAAAAAGTATCAAGGGTAACTGCTTATTTTCCAAGTGCAAATTATATATTTTTTAAATTTTCATGTAATTTATAATAAAATGATGCCAAACACAGGTTTCTGGCATAAATAATTTTTGAGGAAAAGGTTAACTAAAAGGGCCACTGACTAACCAAATCTTGCCTGTTTATAACTTTTGATCCCTTAACCCAATCAAGCTGTACCAAATTTGGTGTACATCAGAGCCAATAGGGTGTTACATAATGGGTACTTTTTTCATGGAATCACCCAATGACCTCATTTTATAAAGGTTTTAGATAACGCTACCAAACCATTATAGCTTAGACGATAATTTTAAGATTCTTATTGGAGTCTACCTTATTTCTCTGAAAAACTTTCCTTAGTCAAGGTACATAGACAACAATGGAATCATGTTAATTTTAAAACAAAAGCTACTTACAATACAAATCCTAGAGTGACTTAATCCTAGATTTAACAATGTGGTCTATATGGATAACATTTGCCTTTTTAACCATTAGAATCACCAGCTTATTTTTATACCATTCACTACTGTAGGATGTGTACATTGCATCTAATTGTGTAATTTTACTTTCGCCTGCTATAACACTCGTTGTAAAGAGCTTACCAAAAACTGTGAAAGATCATTCATTACCATATGAAGCTGTAATTTTACAGTTCATTTAAAGACTTAAAAGTACACCTCAACTAGTACTCGGATAAACCACATTAAATTCACAATCCTTGGCCTACTCTTAAATGAAGCTACTATCAAAGTTCATGCTCTGTTCTTTCTTTGCATTTTAAAAGTTGAAGATATAGTAGTATTACACAGGTCTTTTGGTTAAAGCTACTTTTCTTAGCTTAATGGCGAGATATTAAAGCATTCAAGTTTGAATACTTCCCAGGAATGAGGAATGATAAGGAAAAAACATCACATTTGTTTAGACAGTCCAGTAAAAGAACACTGTAGCATTAAAACCTTTAACACCTATAATATTACCAATAAGTGTCTAAACAAATGTAATGTGCCTACCTCAAGTTTCTTCTGTGTCATCCTACACTTCTAGGAAAAATTCTGACATAGAATTCGAGAACCTTTTTCCACTTAGTTAAGAAAATAAGCTCTTGACCAGAAGATGAGTGCACTGCCACTACATCTTCAATAGTGAAAATAAAAAACAGAGCATGAACTTCCAGTGTTAATTATCAGGTTGACTAAAAACTTCAAAGCTAGAAATCATATGAAATTTATGCTTGTAACAGCACTGCAAATGTCATCAAACATAATTGACCTTAATTCCATCAACTGAAGTGGGAAAACTCTCTGCTAGCTTCATAGGTGTCCACTGCTTAGGATTTAACTGATTAAGATAACGAATTTGTTCCTTTGCAGCCCAGGTCAGCATATTTGTCTCTGGTTGTTGTTTGAAGTACTTCCTTGCCACAATATTTCTCTTTGCTTTCTTCATGTGAGTTTTTTTCTCACTGAAAGTATACAACATTTATTCAGAAAAATTATTTTTTCAACTATTAAAAATGTTTTAGTTATACCTAAATGAAAGTGTTAAGTATTAAAGACATTAATAATGGCAACCTTGAATCTAAGAGTAAGTTAATTAGCCATTTGTTAAGTTTCTTGACACAATTTCATTAGTAGTTAATATGAGAAAATAAAGTTTTAACGTAACAGTTTTGTACATCTACAAAAATAAAATCCTGGATATTTATGACATTCGACAGAGGAGGCAAATTAAAATGTCAATTCCTATCATGATTCTGTGAGTATAGTTTGGAAGTTATTTTTTCATAACTATATAAGTTCATCTACTTAAGTGTCATGCTGTTTAAAAATTTAAAACTTACACTGAATTGAAAATACAACTACATAGTAGGTTTACAGTTCTAGAATCATGTGGAAACAGGACACTACAATGATAAAAAGATGGAAGATTAGAGAAAACTTCATTTTAATTTTTATTATTGAGGCAGACAAAATGGCTTTTACAAAATCTAATCATTCTAAGAAGAATAAGCATGTGTTTGAAATTCTGTACATTTAAGTATTTTATGTACAGTTTAATACCAACATATGACTGTATAATATTTTTTGATGAATAGAACAGCATACCATATACAGAAGACAAATATATTTTCTTTAATTCCTACAATTCTATGCACTTAAAGGATAAACTAAGATGTTCACAATTTTCATATATTGTTAAGGATAAACTAAGATGTTCACTTCGTTATTAAAATCAAAACAACTTTTATGAAGTTTAAATTTGCAGGCCTGTGAAATTAATAACTCACAAAAGTCACCATATCTGAAACACAAATACTTCAAACACATGGCAGTAGGACTTTTTAAAATATAAACTTGATTTTTTAATCAATTTAGGGTTTATAAAACAATAAAAACCTCTGTGTAACATAGCTATTTACTATACTATTATGCATGACCTAAAGACAGTTTTCATACGTATAACAACTCAACACTATTGTTAGTATGACTAGAATATAACTTCATATTCTATCTCTTTGTAGACTAGAACAAATTTTAACTCTAAACTAAGCTGAAAATGACTTGAACGTAACTAAAAGTTACCCACTGATTAAAATTCTAATGATAAGAACATAATTGACTAAACTAGTCAGTTTCATCATATATAAAATCCAAAACATGGCTTGAATTATAGTATTTGGACAAATCATTTCAGTTAACCCTTTCGAGACAGGTCACAGGTGTAAGGCTATGTCATCTCGTTTGACTCGCATTCAATTTTTTATTGGACTACTATTTCATGAATTTATGTCAATAAGTTTGGTATCAAACTGTAGATTATAATTCAAATTTTAGTACTATACATTTTGTATGAATTATAAACTCAAATTACCAATATTGACAAGCTATAATATAAAATAAGAACATCTTATCTTTACTATTTGCTAAGATATTGCTCATGTAATAAATCAAACACAGTGGCACCCCTCCCACCTTTTTCCAATTTTGGAAATGCTTGTTTATGTACACTTACTTCTATATATGACATGAATAACCAATCGAAAGCTCAGAATGTCCCCACGGTGGTTTTCTTTGCTATTTTAAATTTTTATGGTGGTATTGATGTAGTAATTTATAATCTTTTAGTTATTCAAAT